GTTTTACAAAAAAGAAACTGGGCATCAAGAAAACCCAGAATGCATTTCAGCAGTGACATCATAATCAAACACAAACAGCTTATTTTTTCTTGTCCTACTTCCTTATATCCCACAAACTTATCAGCACTCAGTCCAGGTTAGAAACAAGAAAGCAGTGAAACAGGAAACAGCCATTCATTCCTAATACATGCAAAAAAAATTTGTTTGTTAGTTAATAGGATTTTTTTTTTAAATGACGGTAACATTGCAATTAAACATCCTGACTTTAACATGTAAAAATATATTGGGCACCAGTGAAAACCAGGATGATTGTTAGAATGTTTCTTAGTAAATTCAGAGTTTTAAAAAAATCTGTTCTGTTATGACCTGTGTTCTTCTCAGTTGCATTTAATATACAGTGCACCAATGTGGTTTAATGAGTATTTAATTTTCCTAAGGGTGGGCAGCTGTGAACTCACAGAGGAATGCTGTGAGGCGCTGGCTTTAGCTCTCAGATCAAACTCCTCACCCCTGAGAGAGCTGGACGTGAGTGACAATGATCTGCAGGATTCAGGAGTGAAGCTGCTCTCTGCTGGACTGGGGGATTCCCACTGTAAACTGGAGATATTGAGGTCAGTAGTACTGGATATTCCACACTGTAAACTGGAGATACTGTTGTTACGTCCTGGTCTAGGGACGGGGTATAAACACCGGTAAGGTTCGGGAAATCGGGAACGGGGAGTCGGGAGGTAGAGGATGAGGAGGTTGGGGAATAATTTACACCCAAGGCGTTGATGATGGTAACAGAAAAATATGTGTATTTGGGGAAAAGATGAGCTTCAGGAGTGACACCAGCCAAAACAATAAACAAAACCAAGTGAACCTGATACCCGCGTACCGACCGTAACTTTCCTAACCCGAAAGAAAAAATAAAACAAAAGACAAACGCTATCCTAACCCTCACTAACCACAAAACAGATGAAAAATGCTGTACACACAGAAAACAAATGGCAGTCACTCCCTACAACCCTTACACCCATACACACACACACAAATATATATATACAGTATTTACACCGGCAACCAAATCCAATCCGTAATCCTAAGAATAGTTGATAACCAGACAGTCAAAACACGGGTAAACAAATACAAACTGAGTAAGCAAAACCGAATCGAAAACCAAAAGCCCGAAAATCAAAAGCCAAAAACAGGGCGTAACAGTAAATCAGAAATACAATAAGCAAAAGGCAACGGCAAGACAAAGCACGAGCAAAAGCTGGGAGATGGGGTGTTCAGGCGTCTTTTATAATCCGGGGCTGGAGAGGCGGGAAACAGGAACGAGGCGATGATAGCCAGTCCATTCAGTTTTGGCACGACTTTTGTGGTGAGAGATGGAAAATGCGGAACCGGAATCAGCAGCTTGACGGAATGGGATCTAAAGGAGAGAAAGAATGGACACACACACATACCTGTACGGACGTAACACTGTGGTCAGCATTACTGGGAATTTCCCACTGTAAACTGGAGAATCTGAGGTCACTATTACTGGGTATTCTGCACTGTAAACTCTAAATATTGAAAGTGGTTGTATTGTAAATATGAGTCACATTTACTTAAATGTTATGCTTGTAATGGTGAGGTGATCTTCTTTATCTGAGTTTTTTCTGCTCTCTGCAGGCTGTCAGGGTGTAGAATCACAGAGGAAGGCTGTTGTTCTCTGGCTTCAGCTCTGAGGTCAAACCCCTCACACCTGAGAGAGCTGGATCTGAGCTTCAATCACCTAGGAGACTCAGGAGTGAAGCTGCTCTCTGCTCTACTGGAGGATCCCAGCTGTAAACTGGAGAAGCTGAAGTGAGTACAGAGTGTGTGCCTGTCCCTGCTACAGACACATGTATGTGAGAAAGATACAATTATTTAATAAATGAATATACCTGTTTTATGTCATTCTGCTTCTCCTATAGTGTGGACCACAGTGGAGAGTGCCGGACCAGACCAGGCGTACAGAAATGTAAGTTTTTTTTAAACCATTAATTCTCCATTCAGTGTTGTACATGAATGCCCTACACAACTGCCCTTCTTTGAAGGCACTCATATTTTTGGTGGACGGTGAACTGAACACATCAGTTTGCAGCTAATGAACATGAACGTGAGCATTGTTCACTCTGGCAAGAGTGAACGACGGTCACGCACCAGATTTCAT